TAATAATAATAATAATTTGTTTTTACACGCCTCCATAATCCCTTTCCCCCCCTTTTTTTTCTTCTTTTTTAACAAGTAGAGAGTAAACATTTCTCTAAAATAGTATCTGAATTTTTTTTAAAGCGTCCTTTAACCTTGTTTGTATCAACAGTATTTTTTACAAAACCAACATCAATAACAATAACGACGACACCAACTGTAGTCGTAACATTCGATTTCAGAAGAAAAACCGTTATAGAAACAACAAAAAAACAACAACAACAACAACAACAACAACAACAACATCAGACCAAAAAACATCACCGTCTTAAAAAAAACAAATTGTTATCAACAACACCGCCGCCAACAACAGCAACCATAACAGCAACAACAACAACACAATAACAACACCACCACCACCAACAACAACAACAACATTAACAAAAAAACCCAGCATTAACAGCAATAATACCAACGAAAGAATTGTAAAAGAAATTTTAAAAAATAATAATAATTAAGCAACACACACGCACGCGCGCACACACACTCACACACTCACACACACACACACACACACACACACACACACACACACACACACACACACACACAGGATAGTTTAGTACTCACCAAACTGTCTAACTCCCGGTTTGCGGAAAAGAGCGGCTTTTCTGACCGTGCCTGTGAAAGAATAGAAAACATTGTCGTCAACACACAAGTGGATTAACTGCTAGTAATCAAGCTGGGCAAAGTCTCCTCATGAAAGAATTTCTTTTAATTATTATAAGCGTTTTACGCCTCCATCAACACAATTTAGATCAGGAAGTAGGCGAGCTATTTCAACCCGGCCTGCAAGGGCCAACCCTGGCTAAATGAAATACAGATGTCTTTTTGAATGTATAAAACTAAAGTGATAGGGGGAGGGGCCGATAATATTATGCACAAATGCATTGTGATCAAATCTGATCGATAAGGCAATAAATGATAAGTGAAAGACTGGGCGGAAGATGGTCTGGAAAAAAAGTGAACATAAAAGTTTTGAAGACAGAGAGGTAATAAGCAAATAAATGAATGAAGGAAGGAATTGATAGAGGAACGAATAGACAAAGAAATGAAAGAATGAATGAATGAATGAATGAATGAATGAATGAATGAATGAATGAATGAATGAATGAATGAATGAATGATGTTAAGGTTGATGAAATCAATGTGTGGATAGATAAATGAAAGAATGGATGAATAGGTGGACGGACGTGTGGATGAAGGGATAAGTGGAGGGAAGGAAGGATGGATGGATGGATGGATGGATGGATGGATGGATGGATGGATGGATGGATGGA